AGATTTTCTGAAGAAGGGTCCAGACCCGAAACGTCAACTTTCCTGCTCCTCTGATGCTGCCTGGCCTGCTGTGTTCATCCAGCTCTACAGCTTGTTATCTCAGACTTGAGCATCGGCAGTTCCTACTATCTCTGGTTAAAAGGACAGCTGCCAATGCCACATTCTCTCACCTATCCCTCCCCAAACCCCCTCACCTGACCATATCAGTACATAGGCATAGGATTGACATATATCTGACAAAATGTAATGTTTCTTTTGCATATTAGTTGCAACATTTGAATGAAGCAAGGTATTAAAAATAAGCTTAGCCATTCTTATTCTTTGGTTGCCTTCCTTTAACTTGGTCTTGATGTGTTTCACCATGAAGGATTATTTTATGGTGTAAGATTTATCTTTGCTCTATCAGATAGTCTTCCTCATGTCAACAATTTGTAACATGTCTTAACATTTCAAGTTTTTGCAATTATGTGGAATTATGTTATATATTTAACTTTCAGACTGATCACTGTCAGTGATGCTCAATAAAATCACCAAACCATCTTGCTTTTACTATCTAACTCATTGAATTTTATTGTCCACTTTGTGCAATCATCTTGCTGAAAATTTTTTCTGTTGTATTTATAACAAAACGTTTCATGATAACTTCGTAAAATTGTTTTGTTTTAAATTGTTGTTTTAAAATTTTTTTTTGTTTGGCAGGTCTAGATCCAGAGAAGCATCTTGGGAAGACATTGGATCAGGTAGAACCATATCTCAAACAGGTAAGTTTGACTCCAAATTTGAAGAGGAAAGGAAGAAGTTGTATTAAATAGGAGCCGTTATTTAGTTTAAGCAAATAGAAATGCTTTCAACCAGATCAATCATGAAAATGCTTTCAATCAGATCAATCGTAATTCAATTCCATGTGCTTTAACTTCAGCTAACAGCTTCTGAAGAGGAAGTTTATCAGATGCCTTCTGGAAGTTCGTATAAATAAGATCCGTGAACATATCACTGGCTACTACTTTAGTCACTTCTTCTAAAAATCCATATACCATTCAATTGTCAAGTAGGATCTATCATTTAATCTATGTCTGATCAGCGTGAACATTTTCAGGATGTTTAGTCACTGTACCCTTAATTATGCAATTGAATCATTTCCTGTGTTAAAATACAGAGAAACAAAATGTTGAACGGGATTTCAGCTGTTTAGAATTGAATTGTCCCACACTTGTTTGTTGCCCCATATTTTGAAACTGGAAGAAGTCATGTATACCTTAAAATTTGTAAATAGACGTTCATCTTCACAATATAATGTACAGCATCAAAAACAAAAATTGCTGGAAAAGCTCACCAGGTCTGGCAGCATTTGTGGAGAGAAATCAGAGTTAACATTTTGGGTCAAGTGATCCTTCCTCAGAATCCTCAGTTTATGTTTTTGTTTCTGATTTACAGCATCCGCAGTTCTTTCAGTTTTTATAATGTACAGCAAGTTGCTGATTAGTTAATGAGCCATCTGTTCAATTTTATTTGGGATAAGTTTCCATTTTAATGCATTAATCTTAACTAAGTCGAACTTTTAGAACACAAAGTTGTTACAAAAAATCATGTTTAGCTGATTGTATCAACATTTTACTTCCCAAAACAAAAAAAAACTACAATTTTCCCAGCAGTGGCCTATATCCCAAAATTGAAATATCTGAAGCTTCAGAGTCATTGGCAGGGATGAAACACAGTCTTCCAAAACATCTTTTTTAAAGGACCTGGAAAACGGTTGATCTTTCCCACACTTGTCCTTTTAATGTTGGGGTTTGCAGAGGTCTTTATTAAAACTGGGCCTGCTTCCACCAAGCTGCTGCTTCCTAATTGCGCCGTCTCCCTGAGCCATCACCCATGTGAACTTGGGGCCAATGTGTCTGTTACTGGGGTTGACAGTGAGTGAAGCCACTGGCTCCCTCCTCCCTATTATGCCCCTCAGCCACAAGAACAAGGACTCAATGGGCTTACCAAACCCCACCTCCAGCACCCCACTATGGGCCAGACCGGGAATCTAGCCAGTATAGAGGTGAATAACTGGAGCTGGGTCAGGAGGGAGGGTTCCTCTCCACTCACTACTGGGCCTCCTCCAGCTGTAAGATTTTTTCCTCTTCTTGTCCTCAGTTCTTTTCCTCAGTCCCCCCTTCCTCCTGGCTGAAATTCAGGGCCAGCCCCAATGCACATTCGTCTCACTCCATCAGGCTGAGTGAAAGCTTTCCCATCCTGCTCCATCAAACTTTCCTTCAGGCTCCTGTTGCTCCTGCACACAGTAGTCTTGTCCTTTGAGGAACAGTCAGGGTGGAGAGAGGGAACGTGTGACTGGAGGAACTGGATAGATAAGATCTCTGACTGGAGGAACAGCATCATGGCAATTCTCTCTCTCTCTCTCGTGTGCATGGTGGGTGTTCTGGTCAGTAATTCTCCAATTGGTGACCCCAGTGATTGAATTTTGCCAGGTCCTTTTAAGCATTTACAGGGATGAATTTACCCATTTCTCCCGTTTACTTGGAGTGTTGCTTTGAATGAGAAAACCAATATCAGTAATAACTTAGAATGAACTTCTTATGCCACTGTTGAATCTTCAGTGGGATCTTAGTTAAGTTAATGTGCCCAAGTTCATCAGATTGTAATACAGCCTGTGTCTGCAGAACATACTAGTGACAGCCAATTGCAGTGAATTATTTTCCAAAGGGCAAACTGCAAATGGTGTCTTTGAATCTCTGATTCAAGTGATGCAGAGCTTGGGACAGATGAAGCTTTAAGTTTTTTTTCTTAAAATGAAAAGCTGACAATGTCTTAAACAAATCTCTGTTTAGATTTGGCATTGGCTGCGAAAGAATATGCGCCTATTGATTTGGTCTTAATATCAAAATATTAAAAGCTCCTCTTTTCGGATTATAATGAAATATATGACTGTGAATTAAGAAAAAATGTTAGGTAATATGCCTTTCATATTTTCCTTAGTCATTGCAAATATTTTATCTTCCTAATGCATAGATCCTAACATCTATAATTTTGTACTTTTCCTTGCTGATTTAGAGAAATTGGAAATTTTCAACTTTTAAGAAAAAAAAGCATCTAGTCCACAGCATCAGATTTGTCTCTAAAGCAAGCAATATCTGTCCAAAAGACGTGGAACATAGCCAGCTGTGGCCCTTGATCTACATGGGGTCATGTGGTTTATGGACGATTCCAAAAATTCTAGTTTACTGTTAAACAGGTGCACTCCTGATTTTTCCTTGCACTGATCATTGAGGTTTTATCTAATATATTTGTATAAATGCATTTAAAAAATAAGCTGACAAAAGGTAGGGACTTACAAATGGAAAAATCAAAAACAAATTGCTGTTGCAGTAGAAGTAATATTTCCAGCAAAGGAGATATTTTCCAGCTTAGTGTCTGCTGTATCTTAACCAATGTCATGGAGCATTGATACTGGCAGATGCTATTCCAATCAGGGCAGAAAAATAAACAATAGAAACAGCATTTCAGGAAGATGATCAATTTCTGTAGGTTACCACTTTACTGGGTGACTTATTCCCTGTGAAAAATGTACCTGGATGATTATTCTTTTGAATTATTCCAATATTTGAGAATGCTCCTTTGTGAAGGAAGGATAGACATAGCTATAGATAGATTTTTGAAACTGCTAGTTTTTTTTGCATAGTCATGGCAGATAACTGCATTCTATGAACATGTTGGTTTCACCAATAACACTGAGGATGAACGAGAGAGTGCAAACCAATCAATACGTTGAAGTAAAAGTTTTAAATGTCTCTGTACAGATCCATAGATGGAACGAGAATAAAAATCTGCTGACACCGATTGAAGATGTGGTTCCCATAAGACCATGGGCACCACTACAGAGAAGGGAGAACTGATATCCAAAGATTCAAAATACAACAAGGAAGAAGTTAGTTCTTTCAGGGAGGAAGATGTTCTCTGTGAAGGAAACCCAAGAGATTAAGTTACTCCAATTTAAATTCACTTGCTCAGTTTTCCTATTTGAGGATTGATGTCAGTTACCGTTACTGCAGGTTGCTCCTGGGAGGATAAGGAATTCAAATGTTCTTCTTAAAATTGTATCTTCTGGGTTACCTCAGCATCTATCATCAGACTTGAATTGATCATGGCTATTTGTTCACCAAGCTGATTAGTGATAATGAAGTATGCTGTTCATTGGCTATGTTGTTGCTTGTTTTCTTTTTCTTGAAAACCTTTCTGGCTCATGAAATCTGAGCACTCTTCACTGTTAATGGTGTACACTTGTGCTAATCCAGTATAATCATAGGTTCCCATCTTGTTGACAGTTTGGAACAACTGAACTAATCTCAACGATTCTCGATTTTGATTTGGTTCCTCAATGGATCTAGGCAGTGTTTTGAAATCTTCTATCAGCTGTTCCTTAACTTCATATAGTTTAACTCCTTCCACTATATGAAGAAGATTGAGGTCAAGACATGACTTCCCACACGAGTGAGAATTCTTGTTTGAAATGGGTATAGGTTTTCTACTCTTTGGCAACTTCTATATTAGAGAGTTGCTTAGGACATTCCTTTAATCTCCAGTGATGTGCCTCTTGGACCTTGTAGTTGCCTTATTGTTGGCTATATACATGTTTTCTTATCCTTTGCTCAAAATCTGATTAAAAGTTCCAACTTGAACTTTATGAGATGGCCATTGACGTAAAAATCATCTTCCCGAAATATATGTTCTGAATCATGCATTTTGCGAGGAGCAGTTTAGGTTTTTCTTTCTTTTGTACTCTGTCCTACATCATTCATCTCTTTGTGTGGGTTGCTATTTGATTTCTTGCTTTTCTGAATCTTTGTCCATAAAACCACAAGACACAGGAATAAATGTAGGCCATTTGGCCCGTTAAGGCTACTCAGTGAGATCATGGCATATCTGATCATCTTGAATTTTACTTTTACTATCTTTTGCCCATACACCTGATTCCTTAATTGATTCGGAATCTGTCTATCTCAGCCTTGAATATCCTTAATGGCCCAGCCTTAATAGCTCTCCACAGTAAAGAATTCCACAGATTCATGAGAGAATTCACTGAGAGAATAAATTCCTCCTCACATCTGTTCTAAATTGGCGATCTCTTATTGTGACGTTGCACTGTGTGGTCTGGATTCTCCCATAATCAGGTCTCCTCCTATTCTTCTGAACTCCAATGAGTACAGGCCCAACCTACTCAACTTTTTCTCACAAGAAAAGTCCTCCATTCCCAGGATCAACCAAGTGAATGTTCTCTGGACTGGGTCTAATGCCAGTTTATCCTTCCTTAGATAAGGGGACTAAAACTGTTCACAATAATAAGACTTCTACGACCGCTGGGCATCAGAGTGGCACACAAACCCACATCAACCCTACGACAAGTGCTCACCCGAACTAAAGACCCACTCCCCACCATGGACAGGACCAATGTCATCACAAGATCCCCTGCAGTGACTGCGAGAAACACTACATCGGACAAACAGGAAGGAAACTAACAACAAGAGTACATGAACACCAACTGGCTGCAAAAAGACGCGACCAATACTCACTCATCTCAATCCACATGGACAAGGAGAACCACGACTTCGACTGGGACAACACCAAGATCCTGGGACAGGCTAGGCAGAGACAAGCACGAGAATTCCTGGAAGCATGGCACTCCACGAAGCAGGCTATTAATAAACACATTGAACTCGACCCCATATACATTCCACTACGGAGGAAACCCAGAAGTGAGGCAATCCATCGCAACGGACCCCAGAGTTTAAAAACCAGGCGGGAAAACACACCGATGCTTCATCAGAGGCTGCACTGAGGATGTTACCCAGCACGGCAACGAAACGTCTGCGGAACAACAAGACAGCTCGGCGAGCCAACCAACCTCAACACCCACAACCCGAGCTACAGGTCTACTCCAAAACCTTAGAATAATAAAACAGTTCTAAGTAGGATCTGACTAGTGCCTTGTATAGTTTTAGCAAGATTTCCCTATATTTGTACTGTATTCCCTTTGAAATAAAAGCCCAATATTCCCTTTACCTTCCTTATTTCCTTCTGAATTTGGACGTTTATGCATGAGGAGCCCTAAATCCCTCTGTGCTGCATCCTTCTACAGTCTTTCTCCACTTAAATAATATTCAACTCCTCTATTCTTCCTGCCAAAGTGCATGACCAAACATTTTCCCACATTATTCCATTGCCAGATTTTTGCCCACGCACTTAATCTGACCACATCCCTCCGTTTACTTTGTGTCATCCTCACCATTTGCTTTATCATCTGTTTTTAAGAATCACTACTGTGTGGAAACAGGCTATTTGGCCCAACAAGTCCACACCAAATTTCTGAAGAGCATCCCACCCAGACTCATTCCCCAACCCTGTCCCTGAAACCTCGCATTTCCTGTGGCTTATCCACCTAACCTACACGTCCCTGGATCCAATTGGCAATTTAACATGCTCAGTCCACTTAACCTGCACATCTTTGGACTGTGGGAGGAAACCGGAGCACTCGGAGGAAACCCACACAGACATGGGGAGAATGTGCAAACTCTACAGATAATCACCCGAGGATGGAATTGTACTCGGGTCGCTGACGCTGTGAGGCAGCAGAGCTAACCACTGAGCACCATGCTGTCTCTATCGTGTCCTAATTCTACACATTTTCTGAAAGTGATCTATCATGTAACAAATACAGCATTGATTTTTAACAGCTTGGCACTGTCAGTGCCTGTGGCTATCTTTGCTGTGGTGCTAACAAAGGGACTTTTAGGCTCTGATGCCTACCATAATTGCCATGCTGGATTTCTCATATATAATGTTTTGCACCTTAAGAATTGAATGGAATCTGCTGATCTCCTTTGCCAAGATTGTCTTCTCTTAGGATGAGTTATGTTTCTTCTGAATTTCTGCTTTGGTCACATCTTAAAGGCTTTTTCTAGAGCCTTCTTTAGATTATAATAAATCTGAAAAAGACTCATCAGCAATTCAACAAAATTTCTAGAATGAAATCACCATTCTCACATTTCCTTATTAATCATTAAAGCTTATGAATGAAATCATCTATGGATTCCTCTGATTGTTCAACTATTAGTTCTGAAGGTGAAAAAATTATTAGAAGCTTTCAGTATCTTGTCAAAAGTGACTGCTGCTTCTTTTACCCCTTAGTGAGCTATAATTTCATCAGCTATATTCCCAATTATATTACAGAGTGGATTTAGTTGTTTAGCTTCTCTAAGGTTTTTGAGTAGATTTGTAGCTCGGGTTGTGGATACTGTGGTTGGTTAGCTCGCCAAGCTGGCTCGTTGTTCCGCAGACGTTTCATTACCCTGCTGGGTAACATCATCAGTGCAGCCTCCGGTGAAGTGCTGTTGTGTTTTCCCACCTGGTATTTAAACTCTGGAGAACTTTGAGCTGGATTACCTCACTTCCGGTTTTCCTCTGCAATGGAGTGTATATGAGGTCGAGTTCTATGTGTTTGTTGATGGCTTTCTTCGTGGAGTACCAGGCTTCTAGGAACTCCCGTGCTTGTCTCTGCTTTGCTTGTCCCAGGATCTTGGTGTTGTCCTAATCGAATTGGTAGTTCTCCTTATTCATGTGTATAGAGATGAGTGAGCATTGGTCGTGTCTTTATGTAGCCAGTTGGTGTTCATGTACCCTTATTGTTAATTTTCTTCCTGTTTGTCCAATGTAGTGTTTGTCACAGTCTCTGCAGGGAATCTATATTGGTCCTATCCATAGTGGGTCTTTGGTTTGGGTGAGCAGTTGTTGTGGGGTTGATGAGGATTTGTGCGCTATTCTGATGCCCAATGGTCGTAGAAGTCTTCTGGTTAGTTCCGATGTGTTCTTGATGTAAGGTAGCGTGATGAGCGTGTCGGGGCATGTAGTATCTTCCTGGTGTTGTTCGTTTAGTAGGCATCTTCAGACCCAGTTTTGCGCATATCCATTGTCCTTGAACACCTGGAAGAGGTATTCTTCTTCTTCTTGGCGTAGCTCTGTGCTGCTGCAGTGTGTTGTTGCCTGTTTAAATAATGTTGTCACGCAGCTTTGTTTGTGTGTGTTAGGATGGTTGCTGTTGAAGTTCATTGGTCAGTGTGTGTGGCTTTCCTGTGTACCTTCGTTAGCTTCTGATTTTGTATCTAATTTCAAAGCTATTCTGTATCTCAAAAATTCCTTACTCCATGATGTCCAGTTCTTTTTGGCACATCTGTAAAATTCCATCTTCCTGACAACATTATTTCTGATGCTTTGTCATCCAAATGTGATTATATATTTTGCTTGATCACTTTGTAGTAATGCAGTTCAGTTCTGCTGCCCTTTGGTGCAGTGCTAAAGGACTTTCCCTTGTTCTGCAGCTATAATTGTGGATGTTTTAACTGAATGTTTCTACTCCTTGCAATTTAAACAAATGATTTCCACCTTTGTTGGTGCTCTTATGAAGGATCTACCAAACATTCTGTCCCCACTAGTCCAGGTCTACTTAGGTTTACAATCAGTTCAATGTTGTAATTCTAATTACTGTATTTGCAAAGTCCCTCGGTCTGTAACCTCTGGTTAATATTTCTTTAGAGGCCATTAACTTTATCTTCTGTTTCAATAGCCATAATTGCTGCCCATTCACTATGAAGGCAATGCTCAATCTGAATTGTAAGTAATTTTGAACTTTTCAGCTTTCCACCTTGACTGACTACACCATTTTAAAGATACTCCTGACCCATTTAAGCTTTGCTCATGAAGTGTTCAATATGTGCAATTTTCTGCAGTCATCTGACCCTTTCTTATTGATGTTTTTTAATTGATGTGTTCAGAAATAATATTGCACACCTTGGGAGCAGGGTCTGTTGGCTCAGAAGTAGGGAACTTCCACTATACCTCAAGAGCCCTACTGTTTCTTGAATCCTTTACTTTCCAATTGTCTGCATTGCCTGCTTCCTCAGTCCTACCATGATTAATACAGCTTCCAATATTCCTGGCTTTGAGCTTTGGAAATTTCTTCTTACACTGTTACACGTTGCTACTTTTTCACTTTGAAATAACCCTTTTCAAATTTTGCTTGAGATGCTTTCCTTAGTCCTTCTGACTCCTGCTGGAGTCTTATCTCTGATGTTGAGATGTTACATTGCACTGAGCTTAAATAATGTAAGTTGCTGTAATTTTTGGCATTGATTTTCACAAAAGATGTAGGATGATGATGGTGCCTTAATTCTCTCTGATCAGAGAAACAGTAAAGGTGCAACCCTGTTATGTTCCAAGAAAGGTGCTAATATTTCACTAATTTTCTAAGAATGTCAAGCATTAATGACAAAGTAACTGCAGATTGAATTGTACTCTCATCTTGCAGTGTTACAGATATTTTTTAGTATTGACCCAGGCCGCTAACTTTGCACAGACAAATTGGGAGCCGTAAACCTTGCAAGTTATCGTCAACCTCCCTGGGAATGATTAGACACATGATAAAAGTGAGAGTTATAGAGAAAGCCAATCAGCAAACCTAATCCCTCTTGCATAGTTTGTTCATTTTCTTAAACAGGAGGTGAGATGGGAGATGGGGATGTGGTACTTGGTTACATTCAGATGATAGTGATTTTTCCAAGGGAGTTAGGAAGTACAACTATTTTCGTGCACACTTGATTTGTCAAATGAGTGTCATCATAGTGCTGTGGCTCTAATATTGCATTACATTAAAACAATGAAAAGCATATTTAGAGAATATACAACATTTTCCATCTTGTTTGGTCTTTTCCTAATGTATGTTTGGACATATTGGTTGATTATGAGAAAGGGTCAAACAACTTTGTGATGCGTAAGGCACTTGTGCATTGATATATATAGGATGTAAATATGTGTTAGGCTTAATGGTCTGTAATGTTACATGATATGTAAGCCAAATACCACCTGTTTAATTGTCTGAAGGACCAGATCTGAAAATGAAGCTACTTTTGAACTGTATCTTCACCTATCATTCTTCCTGAATTACGTCAATTACTCTCCAAAGGAGGGAAAACTGTCTTTCCAAAATAGATAAAGGAAGCCAGTAATCAACTTCTTCACTTCAGGTTGACAACTTGAATCAGAAAGTCTGAGATTTTCTGGAAGAAGTGTCTTCAAAGACAACTTCCACATGGCCTGTTTATAACAGTAAATGGAAAATATTTGCCCTTTGATGGCAAGACCATAAGAACAAGACCCCTACTGTTTATGGTTTTCCTGTAATTCTTGACTACTTCAGTAGTCTGATTGATTTTAAGTTGAAACCCAGCTCAGTTGGAATGCATGTTGCAGCCAACGCATCTTTTCACACTTCTATCCAAGTTAACCCAGTGGCTGTACATTCTGTGCTGTCATACTTTATGAGAGGATTTGACTAGATGATAGAGAATTTTGATAACAAAGAGATGTTTAATGTTGAAGTCTTATTCTTTAAAATATTCATAATTAGTGTTTTGAAGACTGCATGCAGGGAAAAATGTATTACTGTGCTGGGACGCCATTGATGTTCCTGTTTCTTGTATTTAAAAAAAAAACCTCTAGGCTGTATATTGAAAAAAAAACATGCTGATCATCAAAATTAAAATAGTTTCACTTTTGAACATGTATCACTAAGGGCAACAGTAACAAAACTGTTTCATCAGGAAACAGCGTAGTGCTAGTAATATCATGGCACAGTTTCTGTTAAGAGAAATGCTTATTCACAAATACATGGTTTTGTTGTTGTAGATTTCTCAGCAGTATGGAGTACACGTGTGTGGAGAAGGTGGAGAGTATGAAACCTTTACACTGGATTGTCCCTTATTCAAGAAGAGAATAGTTGTGTGAGTGGTGTTTCTTCATTAGAATAGTCTATTTTGCTTCATGCATGCATTTTTGTGCAAAGGCAAATTTGTTGTCAGGGAGAACAATACTGGTTGACTGACCTTCTGTTTAATAAGGTTTCTTTTGTATGTAATTATAATGCTCAGTTTTCTGTCTGCCTGGTTTGTTTTGATTGGTCAAATTGAGAGGAACACAATAGCTAGGAGCAGTAGTAGCTTATTCATCACCTTGAGCCTAAATTGCCATTGAGGTCATAAACTGATTTGATTGTGGCCTCAACTTCATTTCCCACCTGCCCACATAATGTTGATCAAAAATCTAACACAACTTTGTGTATTTTCAATGACCTAGCTCCCATTGCTCCCTGGGAGAGAGAACTCCTCGTGTAAATCATCTCCCCTAATTTTAGTCTCCCCACAAGGAGGAAATTTCTCACAGCATCCACCGTGAAAATTCCCCTCAGGGTCTTACAAATTTCAATGAAATCACCACTCATTATTCTAAACTGTAATGGGTACAGGTCCAACCTGTTCAACCTTTCTTCATAAGATACGCCCTTCATCCAGCAATGATTCGAATGAACTTTTTCTGAATGGCTCCTAATGTAATGATGCCCTTTTTTAAAAAAAAGGACTGCAGAGCCAGTGATTAACTCAGTTGTAACAAACTATGATTGTGATTTCATAGAAAATTGTTTTAAAGCTTACAAAAGAATTTTGAATGCAAAACCACATCCAGTCTAAGTTCTTAGTGGGAACTTTGTAAATGGGACACTGTTGATTGATTGTCTAGTGGGTGTAAAATTGGTCAGTGTTCCCAGTTATGTCCAAGGCTGGGTTACCCCCAACTTTAGAGCTCATGGAAGAGCCTACTTCTGCCGCATGTTACCTTGTGGTACCAGAGCAAATGATATTGCAGAAAGGGTGCAGAATGTTCTGCAACTGGAAGGGAGAGAGCCCAAAGTTGTGAATAATGGCATGAGAGAGATGGCTTTAAGATCCTATGGCTCAGATTTTCAGGAGCTAGGAGGGAAGTTAAGACATACAACCATCGAGCTAGCGCTTCCTGGACTACTGCCAGTGTGCATCAGTAAGAGTAGAGATAAGAAAGTAAAGATCATCAGTGTATAGCTTGAGACAGTGCAGAAAGACAGGCTTTAGATTGTGACATCAGTTCTGGGCAGTGGGCATTCTATTTGCAGCTCTGTTGGGCTGTGGCCAACTTTCTTGTGGAGAAGTTTGTTAATGTGGTCCGGTGGATTAAACTAACTTGGCAGGGGCTGAATACTAAGATATCGAAGGCCAAAAGGAATAATCTGCAGAAAGGAATGAGTTTTGTAGTACCAGAGAAAGAATATTGTTCAGTATTAGAAAGAGAATAGGAAGGACTACAAGAAACCCAAAGACACAATGCGATGAATAAGGTCACTGAGCTACAAACGACAATAGATGTGGGAACATGTTGTATTAGCAATAAGGAAATATGGTTTAAAATAGTGAGGAGTAGATGTTTCATATTCTAAAATGTTGCAGGGAAAAACGTGGGAGGGGCTGGCAATACTGATTAGTAAATACATTGTTGAGTTGGAAAAGGGATTTCTTTGAGGGGACTAGGGCATTCTCCATTTGATTTAAGTTGAGAAATAAAAAAAGTGTAAAATCACACATGGGTGTGGAGGCTGGAAGTGTATTCTAGACACGTGTGAATAGTGACTGAGAGAGAGAGGGCAAGTGGGGCAAATTTGCAGGAGAATCGCAGAGACCTGAAAGAAATTAAAAAGTGGTGTTACTGGAAAACTTTTGTTATCTGAATCAATTAGAATCAATCAAGGGGAAGGGAGGGTGGAGAAATTTCTAAAATATGCTTGTTTCAGTGCAGACAGATATACTTATGAAATAGAAGCTGATAAGGTATAGTTCAGTGGAGATGAGATTCCAACAGGAAAACATAGCCTTTCAAATCTAGGACAGTGAAAAAAGGCAGACTATCCAGCAGTAATAAATATGTATAACAGAGAGAGAAAGAGAGCACTGAAGCTGGAAAGAAGAGCCAATTTAAAAGGAACCAAGTAAAAATAAAGCTTTGTGATTGTAACAGGGCAGGTTTTTAAACTGCATCCTTGTGCCTGTCAAAGGGATAAAGAATCAAAGGGATAAAGAATCTGGAATTGGATAGAAGTCATAAACAAAGTTAATAATCTGTTATACCTATTTTTTTAAAAAAATGCTAAATTGCACCTATTTCCCCATAATATGTTGGTATTTTTGAAAATGTTCCTTTCTCTAAATTTGGCTTGATGGCGAAACTTGATACAGATAGTACCTTTTGTCTTTGTTCAGTGGCAGAAATAGTTTCTTACTACCAAAGAAAATCATGAAAAGGTAAATGTGAACAGGACTGTTGTACAATATGTAGGATTTAATGTTAGTATAGCAGAATTTAAGTAGTCTCTGAAACCAAAGCTAGAACTCAGTGGATTCAGAATGATTTTAGTATTTTGGACAGTTTCTTCAACATGAAACAAGCCATTCAGTATTTGCCAGCAATAGTGCATGGTACACAGCTGGAGTTGTCAATACGTTTTGTTCTGGTGATTTTACTGATGTGTTCTACAATTATACCCGATTATTTTTTTCAGCGATTCTTCAGAAATGATTGTACATTCTGCTGATGCATTTGCACCTGTGGGCTACCTTAGATTATTGAAGTTGCATCTGGAGGATAAACCCAATGTGAGTTACTATTATGTTATTTCAATGGATGAATGCTTCATTACTTACCCTGAAAGATCCTGTACTTAAGAGAGTGTTTGATCTACTTTGAATAATTTTAGAAGTGTTCTTTCAGGATTATGCTGGGTTTGATGAAGTTCACATTATTTTGATTGAATACAGAAAGTCTGGTTATGTTTGGAAGTAGCGACTAATTATGATATCAAAACAAACATTTCAATTTTTAATTGAATGAAGGGGCTCAGTAGTGCACAGTGATGGTTATTAACTTATCACAGATGTTGATTACTTATATCATAAATAACTAAATATTTAACATTGCACTAGGTTTCCAATTGCTCACACTGAGATGAGTTTAAATCCCTGATAGTCTTCTCCTGAGGTTCTCATTATCATAGAAATTTGTCTTAAGCCAATTTGACTCATTCAATGTAATATCAAGAAATGGCTGAGAGCACTGAGTACCATGAAGCTATAGCCCCTGACAATCTATTGACTCGGGTGCTGAAGACTTGTTCTACCCAGATTGTTCCACTATAGCTACAACATTGACATCTACCGAGAAAGTGGAAAATTGCCCCTGTCTGCTAATAAACGGGACAAATCCATTCCTGCCAATCACCACCTCTATGCTCAATCATCAGCAAACTGAGGAAGACTGTCACCATCAGTGCTGTCAGTGATGCTCAGTTTGAGTTCTGCTTGAACAACTTAGCTCCAGATCTCATTAAAGCCTTGGTTCTAATGTGAACAAAAGGAATTAATTCCAGAGTGACTCTTCTTGAAATCAAGGCAGCATTTCAATGAGTGTGGCCCAGAGAACCTGAGTAAAATTGTAGTCACTGGGAATCAGGACAGAAACTGTACACAGACAGATGTCATGATGAGCATGAAGGATTTGGTTGTTGGAGGCCAATCACTTCAGCTCAGAATCTTTCTGTAAGAGTTTATTAGGGCAGTGTCCTAGTCCTAAGCTTCTACAGGTGCTTCGTGAGTAGCCTTCCCTTCATCATTAGGTCAGAAGCTAGAGGGTTGTTTTGGGATGCTTACAAAGTACTCAGTTCTATTCGAAACTGTTCATATACTGAAGAAGGCTGTGCCCGGATACAAAAAATTCTGGAAAACTTTCAGACTTGTGTGTTGACTGGCAAACAATTTATGTTATACAAGGACCAGTTTCTAATTGTGCTTGAGGGAAAGTCTAACCATCTCTCCTTGACATTTGATGACAGTGCCACAATTGGTGACCATTGACCCGGAGCTGATCTGAACCAGCTACTGTGATTACAAGAGCAGGTTAGAGGCTAGAAATTCTGTGGCAAGTGTGTCAACTCCTGACTCCCCAAAATCTGTCCACCTTCTACAAGGCACAAGTCAGGAGTGACAAAGTATTTTCTATTTGCCTTGATGAATGCAGATCTGACAAAATGCAAGCATGATTACAAAGCAGAAAAAGCAGTCTTGTTGATTGGTACCAGATCCACAATTTTAATTATTCTGTCTGGCCACCCCCAGCACACAGCAGCAGTGAATGTTCCCTCTAAGCTGCACAGTAGTGCTACTGCTGGGAAGCTCCACGCAGGCGGACTGGCATGCAAATAAATGCCTTCCACTTCCAGAAGCTATTGCCGCACATGAACTTTGGTTGTCGACACAGTGTAAAGAAATATTACAGGCAGGGTTGGTGGCTGTGTTTCCTGTTTGCATGGTGCACTGCAGTAGCTTGCCTGGACTACTTTGAAAGCCCTTCTAAGCTTGGGACTTCCAAGACCTGGAGGAGAAGTGCTTATAGAAGTGTTGCCACCTCAAGTTCCCTTTCAAGTCACACCTCATTCTGAAGCTATACCACCATTCTTCACTATTGTTGATTCAAGTTCCTGAAATTCCTAAACTATACTCATGGGCGGACCTCCAAGACGTCAGCTGCAGTGGTTTGGAAAACTGGGTCACCAACACCACCAAATCGAGAACACTTAATGAAAAGTAATAGATGTTGGTTGTATCAACACCACCCGTATCCCATGAATGAAAATATTTTACTTAAGAAAAATTGAGTCTGCCACCTTTTGATCAGTTGTACTTTGCCTTTCCCAGTTGAGCAACTTGAAAGCTCAGGACGTTTATTTTTAAATCTTCATTAAGACCTTTCCTTAGGTATGAATTCTGTATACCTAAAGAGAGCCAGTTTATGCCTATATAGTACGCCTTCCAATGTCATTTTTGAGCATCTGAATTATTGTTTTCAACAGTGTCATATGTTGGAGCAAAATTATTTCAGAGTAGATTCGTCAGCCACAATACTGCCCCCAGTAACATTTTTCACTTTGCCGATATTCAGCATCTCAGGTGCTTCATGTTTCTGGATGAAACTCTGCAATATTTTCTAATGAAGGAGTTTATCCTGCATTGTTAAATTGAATTTACAGCATACATCAGGCCCTTTGGTTCAATAGGCCCGTCATATCGTTTCTACTCCATGCAACTCTCCTTTTATGCTCCTTCATCTAATCCAGTCAACAAAACCATTATTTCTTTATCTGCCTCATGTACGTACTTAGTTTCACAATTGTCTGTGCTTCCAAATTACATCCAGTGCTAGTTATATAAAAGAAATTGCCCCACCTGCAAAGCTGGACACTGTTCCATTTCAGATTAATCACCATGGTGAGTTTTCACTAATTGTACCATTTGCAGAGCTGCAAGGAGGCTCATAAAATTAAGCTGGGATATTTAAATGAAAGGTTACTATTAGGCACATTTTAAGAACTTTTTTCAATTTACTATAGATCCAATGAGTGCGCACCAATCAAACTAGCAAATGATTCTAAATAGGTTTTAGTCATCTTCAGTTATTTAAAATTGGGTTATTCATATATGATGGGCCAGGGACTCTGATATAAAGTGCTTATTTTTGGCAGAAACCTATTTTCAGCTGTATTAATAAATCTTCATCAGGTTACCTCTGAAATATATCAAGGAATATTATCTAATGCATATTTTATTAAGAAAAAGAAATTTAGTTCCAGTGTACTGCCTGATTGCACTGATCCATTAGAAAATTCTGCCCCAGAAATTCTGACAATCTGTGCTGGATAGATTAGAGTTGCATGTCAGAACCATGCAGGAAGCCCAATGCAGCTGACTCCGTGGGAATTGCCTAGAAAATAGAAAGTTTCTCAGAACAATTATCTGGTGTCTAGAACTCTTCAAAAAAGACCCCAAATTTGAGTTAGAGTCAGATTTTGGAGGTTTCCAACTTAATTAAATGTAATAGTTGCCCACACAATGTTAGAGAATAAAAACCTGAACTAAACCTGGTTAACTTTTGAAAACTGACACTGGCTCGGCACTGAACCCACCCTGTAACAACATATGAAAACCGGAATATTTTGTAATGTAATGAGCATATTGTAAGTAACAATTTCTTGGGAACTTTCTGCTTCAGAAGGTGATGGAGGCATGGCCATTGAATATTTTTTAAGGTTCAGGTATGTAGATTCTTGTTAGGCAAGAGAATCAAAGATTATCGGAGTAGATGGAAATGTGGAATTCAAAACACAAGTGAACCTATTGAACGGGGGAGCAAGGTGAGAGGCCGTATAGCCTAGGTCTGCTCTAATTTTTATGTTTTAATTCCAGCCCTGGGAGATGCAAAATTGAATCCTGAAAATACAACATGTCATCTGAAATTCTAAATCATACATATGGAATTTTAAACTTTTTTTGACGTAATTTGCAGTTCTTTTGTTTTAAACTATTTATATATTGGAACTGTTGTTTATGTAACTATGCTTGCCAGCTTGCAGGAATCCGCACAGTTTGTTGTAGTTTTCATCCTCACTTAAAATTCATCTATTCAGATATTTGTTGAACCCTCAAGTAATGTGCAGTTCAAGGTTAAAAAGTCTGTAGAAATTTCCATCAGATTGTTTTAACCTTTTTATGAAAAATGTTGCTCCTTTTGGAAAATAATGTCTTACTTTCTCTAATACAAAATTACTTTTATTCAAAAGAGCATTTTCTGCAGCATGCTAATAGAGTCATAGTCACAGAGTCATACAGCACAGAACCAGACCTTTCGGTCCAACCAGTACATGCCAAACATAATCCCAAACTAATCTAATCCCACCTGTCCAATCCAGGCCCATATCCCTCCAAACCTTTCCTATTCATATATCCATCAAAATGTCTCTTAAATGTTGTAATTGAATCCGCATACACCACTTCATTAGGAAGTTCATTCCATACACGAAGCACCCTCTGTGTAAAAAATTTGCTTCTTATGTCTTTTTAAAATTGTTCTCCTCTCACCTTATCTTGTCTTGAAATTCCCATCTCAGGGAAAAGACAACTATGCTCAACTCTATCTATACCTCTCATTACTTTATAACCTTCCATCAGGTCACCTCTCAACCTCCTACGCTCCAGTGAAAAATGTCCCAGCCTATCCAGCCTTTCCTTATAACTCAAACCTTCCATACCTAGCAACATCCTGGTAAATCTCTTCTGAACCCTCTCCAGCTTGACAATATCCTTCCTATAACTGGGCGACCAGAACTGGACACTCTATTCTAGAAGAGGCCTCACCAATGTCCCATACAACCTCAACATAACGCCCCAGCTCCTATACTCAAAAGGACTCAGCAATGAAGGCAAGCATGCCAAATACCTTTTTAACCATCTTGTCTATATGTACCCGCACCCCTAGGTCCTTCTGTTCTACAACACTACCCAAGGCCCTACTATTAATTATATAAGCCCTACCCTTGTTTGTTGTCCCAAAATGCAAGACCTCGCATTTATCCAGATTGAATTCCATCTGCCATTTTTCAGTCCATTGACCCATTTGATCAAGATCCCTTTGTAATCTTCATTGTCTACGTTTTGGTGTCATCTGCAAACTTACTAACCATGCCTTCTATATTCTCATCCAAATCATTTATGTAAATGACAAACAAAAGAGGACCCAGAACCAATCCTTATGGAACACCACTGGTGAC